GTAAAAAAGTTGAAGGTTCATTTTACCATATGTGGTGGACTTGTGAGAAAGCAAAATTATTTTGGACTAATATACATGGGGGGATGGAGAAAATAGTGAAATGTAAATTTAAAAAAGAACCAGAAATATTATTGTTGGGCTTAGAAATGGAAGAAGTTAATCTGGCAAAGAGGACATTAATGTGGTATATGATAACAGCAGCAAGAATGTTATATGCCCAAAGTTGGAAACAAGATAGAATTCCAGAGGTTGGAGAATGGATAAAGAAGTTACCTTTTATGGCTGAAATGGACAAACTAACAAGGAAACTTAAGGAGCTGGAAGCAGAAGAATTCTTTGCAGATTGGAAAGATTTTAAGGACTACTTAGAGAAATACTGGGATGTGAAAGACAATTTGGTTTGCTTTGAAAATTATTGAAATTATAGAAATAGAATAGAATGAGACGACTAAAGGTAGAATTGGAAAATAAATTACCTATAGTTATGTAAGTATATAAGTTTATAAGTATATGAAAATACAATAAATGAACTGGTGGTTGGAAAGCTGTGGGAAGCCAACAAAAGGATGGGGAGATAGAGAGAAAGGGATATAAGAGAAATGTGATATATGTGAAATGTGTATTATCCTAATAAAACTTTGTTCTAAAAAAAAAAACCAAAGTAGGATTTTTGCTCACAGGACTCCACCGCTTAGAGGGAGCATTGATGCAGACTAGCCATGGTGACTAAAGGGGACGTCCATATTTAGAGGCAGTCACCCTCTGAATCCCAGAGCCGGGAGGCAACACCAGGGGAAGGCCTTGGCCTCTGTGCCCTGCCGGTGGCTCTCCAGAATAAACTGGTTGGCCGCCGTGTGAGTCAGGAGGCTGGATTAGATGGACCCCTGGTCTGCTCCAGCTGGGTTCTTCTTATGTTCCCTTCTCCTGAGACACAAGAGGCCTTTTTCTCCCTTCGCACCAGCTGACGCTCACCTGGACGATCTATCCAATAGGAGGTTTGGTCTCGGTGGGCGAGGGGGTTTCTCCAGCTTGTGCTCTCGCTCACCCTCGGGGCACTCGACCGTCATGCTGAGCCCTCCAGAGGCACTGCTGCTGGTGGAGGTGTTCCGGCGGTGGGTCAGGTCGGACATGCTGGAGGACCGCGAGTGCTCGGTGCTGTAGCCTGCGAACGGAATGCAATCGGTGTCATAGACAGTCCGCCGCTCTACTTTGCCGCTGCAAAGAAGAAGCGTCTGCATGCGATTTACTTCCAAGGATGTTCAAACGAGACAGTTGTCGCTCCGGGCACACCGAGCATCAGAACAGAAAATAAACACTGAACCCAACTTTCTCTTCCAGAAGTAAAACGACAGCCAACGTTGTGACGTGGTTTGAGTGTTGGGCTGCAACTAGAGCTGCCAATCTCCAGGTGGCGCCTGGAGTATTCCAGGAATTGTGACTGATCTCCAGACTACAGAGATCAGTTCCCCTAGAGGAAAAGGCTGATCTAGAGGGTGGATCCACATCTCTGCCGAGGGCCTTCTCCAGGCTCCGCCTCAAAACCCCCAGGAATTTCCCATCCTAGAATTAGCAACCCTAGCTGCAACCACAGAGTCCTGGGTTCGAATTCCCACTCTGCCATAAAGCTCTCCCAGTTGACCTCAAGTCAGTCCTTTTTTCTCGGCCTGACCTCCTTCACAAGGTCACAAGGTGAAAATGCAGGAGGGGGGGAATCGCGTAAGCCACCTTGAGCTCCGTGGAGGCTGGAGAAACAGAATGGGGATTGGAAACCCTCGTCAAGCCCTAGCCAGGGTCCAGCCTACCTGAGGGACCGCCTTGCCCCACATGATCCCCCAAGAGCACTACGGTCGGGGCCCCCAAATTTGTTGGTCATCCCAGGTCCCAAGGACGTTAAACTAGCCACGACCAGGGCCAGGGCTTTCTCGGTGGCGGCTCCTACCTGGTGGAATGAGTTCCTGGGGGAGATCCGGGCCCTTGCGAAACCTTATGCAGTTCCGCAGGGCCTGCAAGACGGAGCTCTTCCGCCAGGCCTTTGAGTAGGAGCCGCCCCCCCCATTATACCACCACCGTCAATGTATCTTAAAGGATGCAGCGACGAGGCCTGAGGAAGAACCGGGAAACGGTAGAAGATCTGATGCCGTCGTCATTGGACATGTACATCAGGGGAGTACCATCTGGAACTGTGGAGTTACCATCTTGGACTTAGGACATTAGTAATGGATTGAGTACTGTGGTTTTAATGTTGGATGTTTTATTATGTTTTTATATGTTTTATATATGGCATGGCTAATGGCCTGCCCTTGTTAGCTGCCCTGAGCCCACTGGAGAGGGCAGGATATAAATATGAAAAATAAATAAATAAATAAATAACAACAAACTGGAGTCTGCCTTTCAACCCAAAGGTTTTGGACACGGCTTCCAGATCAAAACAATAAATGGCCAATCGCATCAAACCAAAAACACCCTCAGCAACCCTGAAGACATCAAAGCGGCCATGCCCAAACCTGCCCCCCAACAAAACCAAGTTAAAAAAAAGAGTGAATTAAGAAAAAGAAAGGCCTTAACTCGATAGCTGAGCAGACTTAACATCCTACAAACAACTGTAGGCAGGGAGTTGTGCAGCCAAGGGGCCACCACAGAGCGGATCGTCTCCCTGCTAATCAAACTCCTCCCCCTGTGAAAGTGGGCGTTTCCAGAAAAAGGCTACTGCAAATCTCTCAGGCCCGCTCCTGAAGCGCTAAAGGTCACTCACAGCCCGCACTTGGAAGCCATGAAAATACTTCTAGAACTGGCAAGAGACAATCCTGCTAATTAGTTCCCATCTGCAACCCTGCTGCGGCATTTTGGATTCACTGTCTCCAGTGCCTTCGCTGCTCGTCAGCAACCGCATCTGCTCTTATCGAAGTACTCTGCAACTGCAGGACGGCAGAGAGGGCGTGCTCAGTATCAATCTGTGCAGACAGAGGCCTGCTGACATCATCGTTTAGGTTTCCTCAGCACAAACTATGCCCGAGCCGTGCCTCCCTTGCGAGACGGGTGCCACGAGCTATCTGATGAGCGATTACCAGAGATCTTGGATTGCTGGCTGGCGTAACTGGAGTTCCGCGAATGCCCTGAGTGGAACACTTCCTCTGGACTGGACAGGTTCTGGTCCGGTTCCTCTGGGACACCTTGTACGGAAAGGAGAGCAAGTCAGAAACATTGCTGGCAAACCACGGCTATGTAGCTTAGATCTTCTGACTGGGATGGTGTACGGAATCTCTGCTACAGCTGCCTAGGGGCACTGAAGCCATGCCACAAAGAGGCAATATTGTCTCTGCGGTAGCATGCCCAGCGCCGGAAGCAACTTTCTGCATCAACAGATTTCTTTGGACTGTCGTCTCTGACCAACTGAGTGGGCAACTGACTCCTGAATGAACAAGACTCTCACTACAAAGTGAGGTTTACAGTCTGCTTCTGTGGAGGATTCAGTTTTAAAGCCTAGAGCCTGTCTGGATACAGCAGCACTAGCTTGACACATCCCAAGGAAAGGAATTTGGTTCATTAGTCTTTGCTGTCCTGCTGTATGCAAAGCCTTTTGGTGTAGTGGTTAAGTGCGCGGACTCTAATCTGGGAGAACCGGGTTTGATTCCCCACTCCGCCACATGCAGCTGCTAGTGTGACCTTGGGTCAGTCGCAAGTTCTTTCAGAGCTGTTCTCTCAAGGGCAGATCTGGAGAGAGCTCTCTCAGCCCCACCGACCTCACAGGGTTTCTGTTGTGGGGAGGGGAAAGGGAAAGGGATTGTAAGATGCTCTGAGACTCCTTCGAGTAGTGAAGGGCGGGGTATAAATCCAATCTCTTCTTCTTTTCCCTCCATGCAACCCAATGGGCAACCCACTTGCATTATGGAACATTAGCACACGATGCACGTTATTGATTGCATGAGAGAGAGACAAAGACAGGTTGACAAGAAGAGTGCTGCCAGTGTGGTTTAGTGGTTAGAGTATCAAGACTAGGATCTGGAAGGCCAGGTTTGAGTTCCCACTCAGTCATGGAAGCTTGTTAAGTGACTTTGGGTCAGGGGTGTCAAACATAAGGCCCGGGGGCCAGAAGCGGCCCTCCAACAACTGGTGCAAGGGAGGGAGCAGGAGGTTGCTCAGGAGTGGTTGGAGCCACTCCAGTTGTGGCTTCAGCGTGGCAGAACAACCTCGTCTGCAACAGCCAAGAAGAACTCCTTCACTTCAGGGACAGTCTCACTGGTAAGTTGGGAGCCACTGCAGCTGCATTCATACCTCTCCACTCAGCCTGCAGCTCCAGGGGTACTATCCTGGATGGCCTCAAGGATCAGCGTTTGCATGTGTGTGTGGGGGTGCAGACAATCATCTGTTGGGGTGTGGGAGCATCTGCGCAGCGCTGCACTGCTGCGTCTCCAGTCCACCCATGTGGGTTTTCCTCTGCACCCCACTTCCAGCCCATGGGGCCTTGCAGTGAACACACCAACTCAGAGCTTATACCAGCTGCTGTCCTTTATACAGTTTCTATCTTCGGTACCTGGCATTACGTTTATGGCATGCATAGCCCGGCCCGACAAAGTGACATTTATGTCAGATTCAGCCCTCCTAATAAATGATCTCCCAGCAGCCCTCAGTCAGAGCAAGAAGCAGCCAGGTAAGCTGCGGAGCCCCCCCCCCTCCAGCCCAAAACAGTCCAGTGGCACCTTTAAGACCAAGCTTTATTCAGGTACCAGCTCTCCCTCCTCTGTGAGGACAGATCTACACATCCTCCCCCCCCCAATAGCTAGCAATCTAAAACAGTCCAGTGGAGCCTGAGTGGTGTGTGTTGCCTTCTGACACACTTCTGGTGATGCCAGGGAGTGTGGCATATGCAAATAAGTTATGCTAGAGTTATGCTAATGAGCTCCTGCACCTCTTTTTCTACGAAATGACCCCTGGTTTTATGGCACTTGTGGCCCGGCCCAACAAGGTCTCATTTATGTCAGATCCGGCCCTTGTAACAAATGAGTTTGACGCCTCTGCCTTGGGCCAGTCACACACTCCCAGGCTAACCTACCTCACAGGGTTGTTGTTGTGCAGACAAAATGGAGGAGAGGGCAACGATGTAAGCTGCTTTGGGTCCCCACTGGGGAGAAAGGTGGGGCCCAAATAAAGTAAATTAAAAAAACCCAAACTAGCCAGGAGACAACGGTCTGCAAGGGAGACCAATAGCTTTTGAGAGGTGCAAAGCAGAGACGGGGCTGTCTTGAAGGTTCAAGGAGCTTGGAATGCTGCAGTGCGGACCTAGAAACTTTCGGAAACTTCATTTACGTTTGGAAAGCTGTTTGCTTGAGATCTCTGGACAAGTGGATAAGGACGCTGTGTCAGCGAATATTAGAACCCACCACCGGACGGGCCTCAGACAAGCCCGTGAGGAATGGGTGAAAGAAACCTCCGTAAAAAGAGACAGAAGCATCAGCTTCCAACCGCTAACAACGTATTACGCATTCAAGTCGATACCACTTAGCTATGTTTTAGCATACGCGGAAGGAATCAGTGGCTATTAACCACAAGGTATAGATAGGAACTCTGGGGCAAGGGATGCTCTGTATTCTTGGCGCTTGGGGGGTTCTAGTGTCCTGGCCCCACTGCTGGACCTCCTGGTGGCACCTGGTATTTTTGGCCACTGTGTGACAGAGTGTCAGACCGGATGGGCCATTGGCCTGATCCAACATTGGCTTCTCTTATGGTCTTATGTGGTGGCAGCTACAAGCATGGACAGCTTCAAGAGGGAATTAGATAAGCACAAGGGGCGGACCCGTGATACTCGCGGGAGGCGGGAGGCGGGAGGGGGAAGTGAGCTCCAGGAGGAAGCAGCAGGAGGAGGTAAGTCCCCCCCCATCCCGCCGGTTACCCCTCCGTC